AGCAAATCTTGTCTAGAATCAAGTAGGGAGTAGATGATGATGAGTTAAACATTGGAAAATTATTTTGAGACTTAAAATGAAGTTTTAAGAACTGACTCAAAATAATCGATTATTGTTAAATATAATCGATTATTTCAGCAAGTGGGCTAAGTGGAATGCCTTGCTGTAATAATCGATTATTTGCCAAAATAATCGATTATTTCAGGAACAACTCTCTGGAATAATCGATTATCCAGCTAAATAATCGATTAAATTGTTCTTGATTGATTTCCAGAAATCTGAAGAACAAAATAATCGATTATTCTTTAAAATAATCGATTATCTGGGTTTGAATTTTTATAAATAGTTGAACTCTTTTGAAACTTAAGAACATTGAGTAAGAACTGATAATCAACTAGTAAAAATGTTTTAGAGAGTCTGTGTGACATGTTGGAGAGTTTTCTTTGTGAAATCCAAGAGAAAAACGTTTGTGAAAAGCTTGTGAGGAAATCATCATCATCATCATACTCTTGAAAGAGGAAGACAAAGATTTGTTCAAGAATTCCAGGTAAATTCGTTTCAGTTTATTCTTTGTGAATCTTTGTGAAAAATCTTGAGAAGGGTTTCTCAAGTGGTGAAGTTTCTTGTAGTGGGTTCTACAAGGGTTACTTTCTTGGGGTCAAGAAAGTGGTTATCTTTTTGTAGTGAAGTATATGCATGTGTGTGTGCTTGTAAACCTTCTTGCTAAAAGATAGTGGATCAAATCTTAATCAGGTGGTGATTAAGGACTGGATGTAGGTCACATGTGGAGTGGCTGAACCAGTATAAAAGACTTGTGCAATCTTCTTCAACCTTATCTCTTATTTTGTAATTTCTTGGTTGTGCTTTAAAGAAGATAAAACTTGATTAACATGTGTATGTGAATTTTGATGGTTTAAATCTATAATTGGATATTATATTTGAACCTCATTGTCTTGTAATCAAGTTGCATATTGCATTCCTATCATTGTAACAAGTCTTTAAGAGTGCTTCATTTGAAAATTCTGTCATAGAAAAGTTTTGATTGAATTTAAGATCCAAAAACTCTGATAAATTTTTTAAAGGGTCATTGAATCCAATTCCTCTTGGATTGGGCCATTCTTTTCTAACACCTGATATTAACCAAAATTTGTTGAGTGTTTCTCAATTATTAGGAAAAGGCTATAAAGTGTTATTTGAAGATAAAAATTGTGTGATTAAAGATATACACAATAAAGAAGTGTTCAATGTTCATATGAAAGACAAAAGTTTTACTTTAAATTTGGAGAAGGAGGAGCCAATTATAAATGAAGATACAAGTAAAGAGCACAAAGATGCATGTCTTCAAAAGGAGTTTGATGATCAAGAGGAGAATGAAGATGATGAAAAATCACCTTCAAAAGAGAAGTTCGAGACAAATGTTAAAATGGTTCCACTCAAGAAGAATTACAACAAAAATCACAAAAAGAAGAAACCAATCAAAAAGAGAAAAGGCAGATTTTGAAACTCAAATTAGGTGATAAAGATATTCAGTCAAGGAAGAGTGTTGGGAATATGCCTAAATATCTTTAGGAGATTAAGTTAGTTTTTATAAGAATATTTTATTTATATTTCAAATATTTAGATTTAATCTGTTCTGATTATTTTAGGATTTATTTCCTTATTTTAGAATAGGATAATATTAATATTTGATTTTGTATAAGTTTTCTCTATAAATAGAGACTCATGAATAAAATTATATTATGCTCCTCTGATAAAAAAATAAGTCTTATTATAAAATATCCTCTCAAACAAATATCATAAAATAACCCATCACTATATTATATCAGAATTTATTGCCTCCACGACAGGAACTCAACACCATTGGATATAGAAAAATTATCCTTTTTTAGGGGATAAAATCACGAGGTGCTTTGGCGTGGGATTAATTTAATAATTTTTTCTCCCTAGGTTTGGTCACTTTGATTCACTCGTAGATAGTTGAGAGGGATGCTTGAAATAAAATAAAATATATAAAAAAAAATAATAGGAGCTAGGATAGGACTAAAAAGAATATTATTAGTCTCGTTAACCAATGTCTATTTGGAAGATTCACCAAAAAAGTAGTTGTCTATTAGGAGGAAGATAAGACTATCACACTTTAATTTCTTATTCATTTGTCTATTATAAGGAAGATTCACCCAAAAAAAAATTGCCTACTTGGAAGATAAGACGATTAGGAAGATAAGACTATTCCACTACTAAATATTTTAAGATTTTGAAATTAAAAAAAATTCTTGATCCAACACTGCAAAACTTTTTATAGAAAAAAAAGTCTTTAAAATTTTTTTAAATCTTAATTCAATACATGGATAAATGAATAAATCATTCAATTATTTTACTTTTCTATTTGCCAAATAAATAAAGTAATAAATATTTTTAAAGAATTATGTACTAATATCTACTTGACCAACTGAACTAACCTCTTAATTTTTTTAAAAGGGTCTTAAAAAAAATTATTTACTAACATTTTTTTTTTATTCTCTCAACTAACCCCTTATAAATAATTTCCAATTGTCAAATTTATAATAATAGTATTTTTTTTTTTTTCAACAAATGCTTGGGACACGTAATGCCAAGTCAACAAGTGGAGAAAGAGATAATACTAAAGGATAATTTCGTAATTTCCACAGGAAGGTATATCCATCATGGTCTGATACCTTATTAGACTTAAATACTTGGATTCAGAGGATATTCTTCTGCTTAACTTCATTGCCTTCATTCTTGCGTTTTTTTCCCAAAACCATAGCTGTTTGTGTGAGTTAAAGAACAGTTGATGCTGTTGAAATTGAAGAGAACCCAATTGATCAAGAGTATAGCCTGAATTGAAAGTAAATCCAATTCTGCAGGTACTGTTTTTCTATCTCTAATTTGAATACTTATACAACTTTTCTTTTTTCATTTTATATATGCAATGCATCAAAATAAATGTTTCAAATTATGTAGGGTTGGATTCTTATGTTTTTCATAAGGAGGGGGTTTATGTTATGAAATCAATTCTTTTGTAATATATACTAATTTATTTTTTTCAGTAGATAACAAGCCGAGCTACCTGTTATATATATGTTGAAGATAAGATATATAATCTGGAGACAGCAGAAGAAAAAAAGTGTGTAAACACACAACATAAGAATAAAGTTTTTTTATCTAAGAAAGAAATTTAAAAAAATAATATTAATTGCGTGGGTACGAATTGCTCAAATAAATATTAAGTATAATTAAATATATTTAATTAATTTTTCACAAAGTATATTTAATTTTGAGCACCATAGCTTGTGGCAATAACTTGTGCAAATAGGCTTTTACTATGCTTGGGCTTCATTTTAAAAGCCCAAATTGAATCTAGGTTATTTTAGCTTGACCTGACTTGGTGAAATGTAAGACTTGACTTTAAATTGTGAGCACAAATTCAATCTGGATTTTTTAGCTTGACCCAATTATGACCTAAGCTTATACAAACTAAGTTTTCATACTTAAGCCTCATTTTATAAATTTGAATTGAATATGGGCTTTGTAGCTTGACATATTGTATGTAGCCCATAACTCACCTTGGGTCCACAACTGACCTACTCAATGAAATGAAACGTTTTGGTTTGTTCTTTAAATTTTGAGCAGAAACTAAATCAAAATCTTTTTAGCTCAACCTAGTTTAACCTACAAAAAGCCTATGTAAATTAGGGTTTTATCAAGTTTGGACCTCATTTTAGAAAGCCAAATTGAAACTAGCCTTTTTGTTTTACCCACATCAAGCTTATAATTGGCTTGCCTTGCCTTGAACATGCACAATTGAATGCAGGGCTTGTGCTTTAAATTGAGTATGAATTAAATATGGCCTTCTTAGGTTGATATAATCATGATGCCCCTTGAGGTTAATCTACAAAAGGCAAGTACAAATTAGGCTTTCAGATGATTTGAACCTTATTTAATTAAGGAAAATTGAATTTAGGGCCTTTTTGACCTAACTTACAACCTACATAGAGTATCCAATCAACCTGACCTAAATCCCACTTGATGAGATGTAGTGCTTGAGTTTTAAATTTTGAGTACCAATTAAATCTAGGTCATTTTATCCTAGTTGATCATGGCCCAATTTGTGCAAAAACCTATAAAACTTATATCTTTTTATTTGTTATGTCATGCCACTTCATATTATTTTCATCACAATTTCATGTAAAGAGACCCACATTTTTTTAAGATGTATATAGAATCCAGTAACCTGTATGTTTATGATGATACAGTGGAAAATTAAAATGTGATAGATGAATTGGATGTCTGGATTATTGTGCAGGCTGCAAAATACTAAAAATAGTTTGACAATAAGATGAACATCCTTCGCGCTTTCTGGAACAGTCCCACTGGCCTCAAAACAACCCACTTTTGGGGTCCTGCTTTCAACTGGAGCCTCCCTCTTGCGGTACATTCTTATTACTTTTATCTATTAATCAATTTATTAGAGTGTTTTTGGATACAAATTTTAAAATTATTTTTAAGTTTTTATTATTAAAAATATTTTTTATTTTTAATAGAGAAATTCTTAAAAATATTTCTAATTTATATTTAGATAAGTTCTTAGTTTGTCTCCACTTTTTGGAAACAACTTGAAACTCTTATTAATCTATTCTATACTATTTTTATTTTTAACTAAATTTTATTTTGTACATATTAAAAACAACATATGCCCTTAATTTTATTGTTACTATACTCTCTATCAAAGCAAACTTAGTTGTAGCTAGAAATTAGTAAATAATATGAAGTGAAAATAATTCTAATTTTCATGTCACCAAAGCAACTTTTTAATTAGTTTTATACTAATTTAATCATCACTTTGCAAATACTATTTATTATTGAGTAATATTATATGAACAATAAAAATTATACAACTTATATAACATTATTTTTGTGTCTATCTTTGTGACACTCTCTATCCTACATATTATCATAGTATACATTTCAATAATTCTTAAAAGGGATTGTTCAAATTATTTTACTAAATAAAAATTAAACCACTTGGGTAGAAGTATCACATTATGATGGAACTAGGTAGGAAAGATGAATGGATGATTCTCCCTAGCCTTGCTCCTCACAAGATCTTCGTCCTTGATTGCAATTCTGGAGGAGAAATGAAGATGGATTCGGATTTGGACAGATCCAAACCAAGGAAGGAAGCACTCTAGCCTAGAAGAGCAAAGGATTGCTCACGGATCCACCTAGAAGTTCTAGGAATTCCTAAGGCTAAGCAAGGTTCCAAGGGACTTCTGAGAGAGAAATGCCTGAAGATAGAATTCAGATTTTTCAAAGTGTTCAAAAGTGTTTACAAAGAGTGAAGGAACATGTATTTATAGAACCGAAAGCAAGCTAGGTGGCACCAACTTCACAAATCAAATTTGGTGCCAAGAATTCAAATTTCAAATGAAAATTTGAATTCAAATCCATGGCCACCATGTACAATTTTGTGAAACTAGGGCTGCCATGCATCTAAATGTCATTTAGGAGACATTTAAAGTGTATTTGGAGGTGCACATGTTCATCCATGTTTGGCAAGAAACATGTGATCCAAATGCATCTTAAATGACTACTAAATGAAACCTAGATTTTAGCTTCTTGGCCTATTTTAGTATTCCTTCAATATTCATATTCTAAGGGCCTAAATACAATGGCCAACCAAATACAAACATTAGGAAATAATAAAAGAAAAAAAATGAACCCAATATTGGGTACCAAAAGCCCAAAGGCCCATGAAGCCTAAAAATAGGTCCAATAAGCCTATGGCCCAAAAATGCTAATCTATGTGGTCCAAAATACAAGACTAAAACATATAAAACCTATACTAATATAATGTATACAACATAGAATAAAGTAGATATCTCAAGGTGGGGCCCATGTGAGGATCAACTTGGGCCTTTCAAGCCCATTGGGCTCTGTCTGGCCCAAAATCTTCATGTTTAGCACATTCCTCTTGGATCCTTCAAGGTGTCACCTCTTGCCCTCCTAGGCATGATTCCATCACATTACAAATCAAAACTCATCAATAAGAAAAACTAATTGGAAGCAATTACAAGAAAATAAGAGTTTGATACTAAAACGAATTCAACTAACAAATACAAGTCTTAATATTAGATAACCAACAAAAAAAATATAAATTCTTATCTACTATTTTGATGCCACATCCTATCAGACCACTTTCAACACAAGGTCTAAATATCCTCATCATTTTCATAATTAGTTTCACCTGTAAGCATGCACTAGAACAAACAACAAACAAAGGAGAGTAAAAAATATCTCACTTCAACTACTGGTGCAAGTTATTATTGGGTAGCCTCAAACAAATAAACAACAAATATGCATTTATCAAGATACAATAATTATTATGCCATACATGACTCTCTTAAACTATATGCATTTGAGTGTATGATAATGCAATAAACATGACTCTCTTAAACTATATGCATGTGGTGTAAGTTAAACATTTTAACATTGTCTAAAGGCCACCGCCCAAAAGTTCACTACCTGAAGGTGAAATCTCTTGTACGATTGTAAAATATTTCATGCACATGATGCATACCTCACATACAATACTTGATGCACAATTCTCATCATATCATCATCACCAGTACACATTACAAAGCTCTATCATAAACTCAAGTCATTCACATGCCATATCATCATCATTTCATTATCGTATCACTCATTATCATCATTCCAATCTCATTATTCACCAACGTCTCAAATATTGTACACAACATTCTCAAGTCAAACATCAATATTTCACATCACGACATACATATTATCTCATGTCACATATAAATGTATCATTCCATGCATAAACATTTCATACCATGCACATCACTAAAAGCATCCCATATCTTAGATAGGCACAAGGACTTAAACACAAGATTTTACAACATAATTTCATACCTTTATCATAACTTATTCACAAATATCCCCTCTCATGTTTTATGTTTCTTAACTATTGATATAAGAAACACTAATTATTTCCAAGATTAAACACTTAAAGGACAAAACAACTCACTAACTAGCTTTTCTTATCTTAAGCTCCTACGACAAGTTGATCTAAGTTTTATTGGAAAGATGAGACAATTATCTATAACTTCTATGATGACCTTGAGAGTTAATTATGTCATCTACTATTTTTAAAAATTACTAAATCATAGTATTTTAGCCTAATTCTGACAACTTGACCTCCTCTTACTAATTTGATCATAATTTTGAGTTCTATATATCCTTTTTGGGTGATTTCAATGACATTGGAAAGCTAACATCTAGAGATAAAACTATCATGAAGATTACAAAATCTAACTCGACCATTTAAGTCTCCTTGCAAGGCTCACAACATATGCATGTTACATTTCGTGCACAAAACATATGGTTCATCTTATAACCACATAACTCATCATTTCTTAACATTTTTATGTGATTCTTAAATTTAAATTATAGCCTAAAATGCCTACTTTCTAACCCAACAATCGAAAGTTGATATCACACATAGAGAATTAACATAAATACAAAGGTATGTTCATACTAGATCTTTCATGACAAAGCACAACTCACACTCAAACTCACTTATCTCAATCTAATTGGTAAAAAGATATATTAAAGTCTAAAACTACTTTGTTATACTATCAATTACTCGATTCCAACATTAATTTTACCTATTTACATTAACTACTTGTATTCATTTAGTTTATTCCATTCTTAGGGTTCCCACAGGAACTCATAAACACTCATAAATTCAAATAAAGGCATTTATAAGGTAACTACATAAATTGTAAATATGACTACTAATAAATATTATAACTATAATACATATGAATGACATATAATACAGAATTACCATTACATCTAAGAATGGGATTTCTCCCTCATGCATCATACACAAATGAGACAAGATTGGGAGCTAATCTCGCTACCTTGCAAATAACCCACACCTTGGAGCAAGATTCTCACTCTCCCTTACCTCAATGGATTTCGAATGTTGGGTGTTGGTCTCCAAGATCATCTTTAACTATCTTTGATTCTCTGTCCTCTTCAAATCACAAAGAGCACTTGTTAATTATGAGAGACAACCCTAGTTTTACTAATTTATATATAAAAAAACTCTAAAAATTCTAACATGTTTATCCTGTCGATAAAAACTATTTTAACCACGGTGAATGACCCATCTCTTATAGTTAAATAATAATACATAATAATCAATTAGATTTAAAATATTCCTTTTTAGATGATAAAATAAAATGTTATCAATTACCTACCCCCTACATCTTATTTATTTCAATTAAATAATCATTTAAAATCTTTATTATTTTTATTTTTTTATCTATCAAAATTATAATGACAATACCAAAGTTCGAACATAAGACGTTGTACATATTATTACAACTCTCCACTACTAAGCCAACTCCAAAAATTCTAAAACCTTTATTAATTAATTGCATTACTCATCATATAATTCCCTTAGTTGATATATATATATATATATATAAAATCAATATACGTTAAAAAATATATACATATATTTATCTTTAATAATTAATATAACAAATAATTTAACAATTTTTTAATTAATAAAAATACTCAATTATTTAAAGTGCTTTTAGTATATTTATAAAAATTAATTAATTAATTAAAATATCATTTTAATAATTTAAAAAAAATTAAGATGTTAAAACTTAAAATTTTTTCTCTATATATCACTTCATTTATTATGAATGAGATATTATTAATAATGGAGAAATACAAAAATAATTTTATACAAATTCTTATAACAAAAGTTATTCATTTAATTTTCATTTCTCATGCACCAAAGCACTTTTTTAATTAGTTTTATACTAATTTGATCATTGGACTACTATTTATGACCAGGCAGCAATGGACACAAAGAAACCACCAGAAACGATATCTGTCAATATGACTGGAGGTTAATTACTATATTAAGTTGTTTGAGCATATAGCATTAATTCATAATTGAATCCATTAATTCATATTATATATATGGCTCCTTGTTAATGCAATTATGGAAATGAATAAATGGTAAGTAGTGCAGTTATGTGCGTTTATTCGGCATCGTTCATGAGGTTTGCTTGGGTGGTGCGACCACGTAACCTACATCTTCTTGTATGCCATGTAACCAATGAGACTATGCAATTATATCAACTCTCAAGGTGGTTCAGAGCTCAAAGGTAAAATATTCTCATACAATTTAAATTAAAGCAAATCATCTCTAAATCCTTCATCACTAATCAATAATATTAAGAACAGGCTTTCAAAATTGATTTTAAAGGTTAGGTGGTAACATTTTTTAAATATAGTATCCGCTTTTAAATTTGGTTACATACTGTAAGAATATTACATATAATACACACCAAAAAAATATTATTATAAATATAATATATATAAAATAAATTTATTTAACATATACTCTCATATAATTTTAGAGTTAATTTCGAATAGAATTCAACATCTCTTATTTTTTATTATAACTTATATCTATAACTTTTAATAATTATTAAAATATAATAAGTAAAATAATTTTTAGTAATAAATATTATATTATTATAAGATATATGGTGTATATATCACTAAATTTTTTTTTTGCATATTCTCCTAAGAAATCGGTTGCCGGAGTTAATAAATTTGATTTTATGTGAAAGAGACAGCCATTAAGAATGGGTATACAAGAAATCTGACTGTGAGTAATTTACAAGAAATTAAAATGTGAGTTTCATGGTCATATGTTAATAGTGTAAAATACTTTTATATTATTAATTAATTAAATATTATTGTTGATATAATTTTTTTTTTTATATTTTTTATTATAAAATTCAATAACTTATTATAAATAATATTTTGTGATTCAATAACGGTGTAAAGGTACTTTAGGATATCATATATTGGTTTGTTTTATAATTGTTACGTTCATAGGATGCTAGGGTGGGAGATTTTATGTTGTCTTCCACTTTGGGAAAGTGGTTTTGGTAGGTTAGATATGGTGGATTTTATACCAACAGTCTAGGTTATTATTATTTTTTTCTTTCTTTTATCTTTTTTTCCTCCCTTTCCTAATTCACTTGTGGGAAAAAAATGTTTATTACATTGATTTTTTAGGCCTTCTACATTGGTTGTAAATCCCACCATTGGTATCTAGACAATTTTAATATTGGGTGTTGATTGAAGTTAAAAATACAAATACAACAGCTGTTATTTATACTAATGTAAAAAAGTTATTAGAAAACATTAAAAAAAAAATTTAAAATCCTCTACCTCTAATTTTCACCATCGTCACCACCTTTCTTGCCACACTAAACCACAAACCCTATCTACGAATGCCTCCAAGTCCTTCCTCCCGCCTCTACAAATGCCCCACCTTGATGAACACACCTTAACCCTTCCTTTTCTCTCTGTGAACACTCCTAAAAACGCAAAAATTAGAGCATAATATAATGAACAATCAATCTAAAATTAAAAACAAAAATAAAAATAAAAAACCAAAACAATGATGAACACACCTGAAGAGAATCACACAAATTGGCTAATCACGAACAAAGAAATGAGCGTTGCAACCACCAGCATGTTATCCTCATCAAAAAATGAAAAAATAGAAGAGACTGAAGAAGGGAGAGTAAGCAACAACAATGAAGAGCAAGCACGGTCGAGAGCCAACACGATGGCATGAAAACGATGGAAGACACGAGCAATGATAGGGACAAACCAAAAGAGACCAAAACTTGAACATGCGTGACAAAGGAGAGAGAAAACACAAAATGGGAAAAGACCTTTTAGACATTATAACAAGATTTACAAAGTTTGGATTTTGATTTCTTTTTTTTAGGTTGAAAAAGGCAATTATGTAGTTATTAGTTATGAATTTGATTTGCCCTACCTTAAAACCCTCCATTCACTTCCCCTCAGATCTCAATCGCTAACCCAACATCATCCCTCCTACGCACACTTCTATTGTAATACTCTTCTACCTTGAATAATTAAATGAATAATTTAATGATTTTAAAAAATATATTAACCCTTCATAAAAAGTAATTTTATAAAATATCAATATTCAATAAAAGGATTCATAATTTTCTCCGACAACTTTATTAAAAACGTAGCAAAAATTAAAATATAGCACAAATCACTTTTTTAAACAAAATACCAGTAATTAAACATAAGGAGTTATAATCCAAATAAAATCCATTAAATACTAGGATTGATCTTTGCCCGATGTCACACTAATTAGAGCAAGACCCCTTTTTATATATCTCCTTCGTCAAACACATCTTCTTGTACCTATATTAGTCTTGCAAGTGGGGTTTATAGCCCAAACACAAACATACAAACATGGAGAGTAAGAATACATCTCATCCGCACACATCATATATAAGGTACAAAGGTAGACACACACAACTATAACATCAATCATGTCCCACATACATATAAGCATCCTTCCATACAACTACTATAATCATCTTCACGCATTTATTCATCATTCACCCAGTAAATCTTGCAATATATCTCGATCATAAATTAAGACTCGTGCAATGTATACTCTGAACTTTATATGTATGTGGTATCAACCTCCTCTTCTTCATCAAGAATACAAAATAACATAAGAGTAATGAAATGGGTCCACCCCATCGAACAATGTAGAGACCACTCATCAATAGTGATGCCTTCCAAACCACTTCAACTAAGAGATGTCTATCAGAATGTTGTCAAAGTGTTACAACTGGTTATGGTAGCCTCCCATTCCCATTAGAGATTTCCTCACCATAACACCACTTAGGGCGCAAGTAAAGGACCTAAGATGTCCCACCTGCATAAACTCACTATTCCACAAAAAAAAAGAGTATAAATGCATGGACTCAATATACTCAATGCAACAACATAATATGAATACTCAACTCCTTGAGTGTTAGTATGCAACACTAAACTTATTCATCTTACCTCATCATCAACATTCTTATAATATATAATAATTTAATTCATTATTTGTCAGTCTGCGACACTAGACTTATTCATCACTCATCATGTTACTCATAGTAACTCAACACATCATACATCTATATAACTTCTCATACAACAACATCTTCACACAACATAACATTATACATTATACACAATTATTACTTATACTATTCATTCATCACATAGTATATCATTCATCATTATAACATCATTATCATAATATCTCAATCATAACATCATCATCATCAAACCTCAAACATCATAATATTATACACCATCATTACTCATATCACATATAGACACTTAAAGAATAAAATAACTCACCAATATAACTCATAAAATATCTCTTCTTATCTTAAGTTTCTATGATGTTATGAGGTCTTAGCATGTTATTTAGAGTTGTACCTATGATATCAAGTTGATCTTAATTTTATTAGAAAACTAAAATAATTATCTACAAATTTTATGTTGACCTTAAGAGTTGATTTTATCATCTACTATTTTTTAAAATTACAAAAAAGCAATATTTAACAACTTCACCTTTGCCCACTAATTGAATCATAAATTGAGTTCTAAACTTCTATTGGGTGATTCTAGTGCCATTGGAAAGCTAGCGCCCAAGCCTACAACTCTTATGAATACCACAAAACCTAATTTGGTCATCTAATAGTCCTCAAAATGATTATAAGTTTCAGACATTACCTTTTGTGCATAGAACGTGAGACTCATTATGACTCACATAACTCATTTATTAACATTTGTACGTAATTCTTGAGTCTAAACTATAGTTCCACATGTCTAGTTTCTAACCCAATAAACATAACTCTATTTGATTAATCATGTAGAAAGAAATCACCTAAATATTGACATATGTTCATACCAGAATTTTCAAAATTAAACAAGCTATACCAAAACTCTTAAATCATACATAAACCCTAACATATATATATATATATATATATATTTTTTCTAAAATTAAGCATTAAATAATTTTCGGATTTTCATTAAATGTTTCAGATTTTATTTCCTTGAAAGTTGTCAGACTTTTGATATTTTCCTTATATCTCAATTTTTTTATTAAAGTATTAATTAATATTTAAATATTAAAATCTTACTTAATAATTTACTTTGAGTATATCTATTTTACAAAACAAAAATTAATAACGTTTTCCTTGTATGACTTTACATCATATTGAAAATCGTAACACTAAAATATTTACACAATTATATATATTTTAAATTTTTTATTACATAGCAAGTAAATATTAAATATTTATTGTATTTTCATTAAAAAAAATGTTACATATTTTATTTCGTTGAAAAGTGTCGGACCTTTGACATTTTTCTTATATTTCAATTTTTTTCTAATAATGTAACAAATAATATTTACATATAAAAATCTTACTTAATAATATCAATACATTTCATAAAGAAGTACTTTGGATTTTGAAAACATTAATTAAAAATATCAATTAATTTCATTCAACAATTTTGATATACACATTTCATTAAAAAATAATTTTACTAACAAGTACTTTGAATTTTGAGCTCGTTGAATAAAAATAGCAATACACTTCTTTCAATATTTTTAATTATTTTAAATATTTTTTCTACAAAAAAACCTTTATATATATATATATATATATATATATATATATATATATATATCCATAAGTATCCTTTTACTTCAATTCATCATCCTATCGGTCAATTAGATTATCCACACTCAAATAATAACAATATACCTTCAAATCATGCAACTTATTCAATCCATCAAATTTCTCGAGTTCATACACAATATACCCTAATCAACAAATATATCTATCAATTTATATCAATAATTAAATCCAATGTTAATCACCACTTGAATGAATATAATATAAAAGAATAAAACATTAATTCATTCATAAGCAATCACATATCAAAATCAATAGCCTACGGGGCTTTAGGATTGTCCTTTTACCCTTATCCTTCAAATATGTCCAATGGATTCAACAATCTCACTCTCTCATACTTAGAGTGATGATCCTACGGAACATGTTTTCTGTAGCTCTAATCGCTAATCAGTGTCTTCCCCGATGGTTTCTTATAGGTTTCCTTCTACGAGTGCTCTAAGTTTCAAAAGACACGCATAATAACTTAATCCCTTCCATTTTTCTTTCTTTCTTTCTTTTTTTTTTTTGATTAGCCTCCAGGTTAAGCTTAGAGTCTAGCCCAAAATCTTTTAATTTATCTCTCCATTTTATTTTATTAACAAAATAATTCCCTTATGATAATTTAATTATTCTAATTTATTTATTATTTATTTTAAAAAAAATAGGATGTTACAACTCTCTTCCCCTAAAAGAAAATTTGTCCTCAAATTTTGTATGTATTGAAACATTCTAATAATGCTCCTTCATAGTGTTCTTAAGCTCTTAAGTAAAACTTGTCACAATAGTAGGTCTTGCCCCTTTTTTGTCCTCAATTCTCAAGGTAATGTCTTCAAGACATGATTTTATCTTAGCTAACTATTACAAACACAAGGATATGAATTGTGTCATGAGTATAATTTTTGAGTCATGGAACATGGAAGACACTATAAAGGTTTCAAAGAAAAGAGATAAAGCTATAAATTAGAAACTTGCTAATTCATATTAAGATTTGGTAGGATTGAAAGAAATATAGAGTAAGCTTGCATGATTTTAATGTCAAACCAACTTCAATTCAAGTAATTATTTTCAATGATACATGATTTTCCTCATCCTCTCTTGGGTCATCATAATGTTACAAGTGGTTTGTTAACTCACTTCAAGTCCTAAGATAAGGTTTCCACTAGGTTTTAACCAATCATAAAGGTATATCATCGCACCTCTTTGCACTTACAATTCTGTAAAGTATCATCCTAACTATCTCTTAATCTTAAGAAAAATCTTTAAGAGAATTCTTTAAGGATTAGATAGTTCTATCATATTGGCTATCTATACAAAGGTAATAACCTAAACTTAAGGTAGTTCTTAAAGTTTTGTGAAATTCTCCCCAAAGAAAAATAATCTTATGGAAAGTCTAAGGTCTGTAGCAAAAACTATGCTATAGAGCACCACATGTAATCACACTCCTACCTAGTACCCCTAAAGTTTGCAACTCGCTTAAAGATTTTGGTATTCTTCCTTAGGCTTCTAACATATCGCACAAACATGAGTAACTTAATCACAACTCTTTCCACTTTGACCATCCCCTTAAGATCTTGGTATATCTTTATAACTTTGGGGTGAAGACTTATATTACTCTTATGTCCTTCCTTTAAGTTAATATTCTTAAAGCTAGGAACACTAGGTGTGCTCAATTCATCATGGAATCTTGGAACTTCATCTATACCCAACCTCAAAATCACTCTCCTTACTTTAACTCAATACTTTACTTGAACTAATAGAAATGGACTTAGTTTTTGATTTTTACTAAACTCGTTTTATTTATCTATTAGTCATTCTCAATATGTCCAACTTAAGATTCATTAAGGGTTACTCACATGTCAATTAAGGTTTTTAAACTTGTACCAGTTCTCTAGTCATCTTTATAGACACATTAAGGATTAACCTACACAAGGTCGAATCATAATTCTTAAGAGTTTCTAACCCTTTCACTTGTTTTATGTTCAACTATTTTTAACCAAAATATATTTAAAGTCTTTATTATCGCTAAAACTTCTCACCAATATTATTAAAGCATAAACTTTTATGAATAGACTTTAGAAGATATGTGCAATAACTTAATCCTTTTTTTTTTCTTCTACTTTTTAATTAGCTTGTGGGTTAAATTAGAATCTAATCCAAAATCTTATAATTTATTTCTTCTTTTTTATTTTATTAACAAAATATTTATCTTATAATATTTTAATTTATTTAAAAAAAATAAAATGTTAGGACTATAGTATCATTAATGGTCACAATCGCATGTTTTAAAGGTATCAGCGATCGTGGACAGATATTATAAGGGACAGTTTAAAGAAGGTTTCAGCTTTTATGGACAAGTTGCATGTGTAAACAAGGTTGCGACGATATTAACGAGTGTCGGACACGAAAAAGGATAAAGGAAAAAAAAAGTGGTAGGATAAATCGAGAAAGGAAAGAGAAAATAAAATAAAATAACAAAAATATTTGGACCATTCAATATTTAAAATTAAAACATCTAATGGTGAAAAATATTTTTGCCGCAGAGCCATGAGAAGCTTTCACATCGTACTACTAGAATTTCTCTTATTACATTTGACTTTTCCTACGAATTTTTATGAAAAATTTGCAATTTTTCCTACAAAGTTTCCTGCAAAATAAAATTTGCAAGAAAGTTTCCTGCAAAAATAAATTCGCAGGAAAGTTTCCTGCGAATTTTTCGCAAGAAATTCTGCAGGAATATTTTTTACGAAAAAAATTAAAGAAATTACTATAAATTCTATCAGTAATTATTCAACTTTCAAATGTTAACAATGAATTCATCCGATGCGCATTTGTTTCCATGCCTCCAACATGTGATACATAATCTTTTAAATTCTAAGATTCTAGATTATAAGTCTAACACTCAACCATACATATCAACTTGTAAGGTAAGTGTTGCCCCAACTTATATACTCTTTAATTGTTTTATTTTCAATCGATGCGAGACTTGAAGTTTTTTTTTTAAGTATTAAACTTATATATTTAAATATTTTTTATATTTTTCCTGTGCAGATTAAAATTTGCAGGAAAATCTGCAGGAAAAGTTACTTGTAAAATTTTTCTACCATTTAGTAAACATTACTTGCGAATTTATTTTTGCAAGAAAATCTTCAAGAAACAAAATAAAATTCTTACAATATTTTCTACAAATTTTTACCATGAAAAAAATTTTCTATGATCATTAAAACTGTAGCAAAATTTGTAAGAAATATTTGTAAATTATTTTTCGCAAAAAATTTGTGCGAATATTTTTTTGCATGAAAATTCGCAAAAATTTTCTGCGAATATTTTTTTACAGGAAAATTCACAAGAAAATGACACTTTTCTAGTAGTGTCGTAGCCTTCGTCTACATTCATAATTGTATTCAATTATATAAACAATGTCCTATTTTTAAAATTTTGAAATTGCAATGCATATAATTTAAAATTTATAAAATAGCTTTAATATGTTTTTAATACCTATAAAAAAATCATTCTAATTTTAGTCTTTATAATTTTTTTCCTTATTTTATTTTGTTTTTTTTTTAATTTATAAATATTTTTTCTTATAAATAAATAAATTTTGATTTTAATCCTTGTAAAATATTTTTCTTTGATTTTTATCTCTCTAAAATTTAAATTAATTATTTTTAGTCCTTAACACTTATTTTTAGATAGATAAATAATATCCATTTAAGGACTTGTAATTCTTTTTAGAGATATTAAATATCAATATGATTTCTTATACTTATAGATAACATATACAACATTACTTAACCTTTTAATAAATTAAAAATAGTTAAAAAAATGATCACATTAAAAATTGAGACTAAAAATAATATTTCAAATTTTATAGGGATGAAAAAAAAATTAAAAAGATAAAAATAGAAATTTATTTATATAAATTAAAAATATATTGAAATCTTTATAAAAAAAATATTAAAAATTGTTAGTTTACAATCTTTGTCATATACTTGGTGTCAATTAATCTTATCCATTTATTTAGAGAGACTAACACACTTTTTTTCTCATTTGTCATTAGTACAAAGCTTTAAATCTCTAATATATATCCTCGATGACATTTTAATTTTAGGTGTAGATGATATAACGTTTCTATTCTGATAGTATTTGTGTTTGATATACAGGGCCCTTGAGCATAACAAGATGGCATCAGATGTAGGGTGAAACTTATTTGTTTGAGCATTGCAGTCCAAAGAAAATGTCTTATAGCTTCAAAAACAAGTCTTTTATAATCTCGTCTTTTACCGTTCACTTTTTTAATATGCTTTTAAATTTGGCCACATTATAACTTTTTTATAATAATATGTTATTGAAACAATTAATTGTTCGTATTATATAGAGTGAGCATATGTTATGAGAATGTCATTTTTATATGAGAATGAGAATGTTTAATGTCAAGCCTTAAATTAAAATAAATTACTTAGGAGTGTATTGGGTTAAGATTTTAAAAGACTTTTTTAGTTGAAAAAAGTCTTGTGAATTTTAAAAGACTTTGTAAGATTTTTGTGACACCCTCTACCACCGCATCCCATAATACATAGATAACAAAACTTGAAGAACATAATCTTTCATAATTAAAATATCAAACGTGTTCAGATAGAGAGCACCATATCCATGACTTTAACATAATCAGTGAAAATTACAAAGAAATAATGCTAAGGTTTCCAAAAATAATTTAATAAGAACAACATCCTAATCTAATCCTATCTACGCCCCGATATCACATGTCCTATCAAAGCAAAGCCCAACATTGAAGTCTAAGCTTCATCACCAACATCCTCAGTGTTATGCTGATGATCACCTGTATAACAATCAAAGGAAAACAACACAAAAGAAAAGGGAGTGAGAAACATTTCACTCTGGCTCACGATGTAGGAATACACACCGGATAGCCAAACACAAACAAGACATGTATATGTACATAACATAGATAGATTAACAACAATATCACATCCCACTCACCAAAAGACATAAAAATCAATTTAACATATAACATTAAAAATGCACATGTAATAGACACGGACTACATATTATCATGCATGTGGCGCCAGTAACACATCAGATGGTGTATTGCTGCTAGCAACACACGTAGAGTAGTCTAGGAGTACATGTTGGGTCACACCCTCTGCGCACTCTCACTAGAATGACATACTACCAGGGTCTAGTCGGAATAGCTAAGTCGCACAAGATACATCCCATGCACATAATGGGTGAGACGGAGACTTACAAACCGAGCTATCCCCAAGGACTAATCCCCAAGCTTTTACACAAGGGGGCCTTCCCTAGCGGTGTATTCCATATCGTACCCTTAAAACATTTATGCAAATGATGCATGTAATTCAAGACTCTATGCATTCTCATATCACACTATCATGTCTCATTATCATATTATCATGTCTCATTATCATATTGTTATGCCGTATCAAATTGTCTCATATCACATACTCATCAACTCTATTCATTAGAGGATAACATTGAGTAACACAAGAGATTCACATCATTGCATATCATAGATCTCTTCATATAATCGATAAAAACGTTCTAATTCATACGATAAACATTTAAAACAATACAATTTACTCATATAATTACTTTTTCAAACAATCTCCTCTTACAACCACCAATGTATTCCCTTAGGGTTTCCCATAAGAACCCATAGAGATCTCAATTCATACAATTAATTACATATAAGAAGAGCAATAGATGAAATAGATACAATTGGGAAAATCCCCTCATACATGAGCATACAACAAACATAGGATTGGGGGCCAATCCCACTACCCAACATACATTCCCACACCTAGAGCAAGGTTTCTCACTCCCCTTTACCTTACCTCGATAAGCAGGAGATGAAACTAGAGCAGGATCTTGATGTCTCTTCCTCTTGGTTTTCCTTGGTCTTTAGAGAGCGTAGAAGAAAAAGAAGTCAGAAGCGAAAAAATGCTTTTGGAAGTGCTAGAGTGTGCTATTTATAAGTTCTGGATTCATTTGTCATGTGTTAAATTCGTGTCTAGAATAGCCTGTTCTTAAACTAGAACGACCCGTTCTAGAATTGAGTTTTAACTCATAACGGTCATGTTTGGAATGACCCGTTCCCAACTAGGGTTTTAAACCTTTTTAGTAATTTAGAACGTCCCATTCTAGTTTGGGAACAGTCCGTTCTAGGCTACTAAAATTTAAAATATTTAATAATTAACAAATATATATATGTCCGTTCCGGGCTACCAAAATTCAAAATATTTAATAATTAAAATTTCAGTTTTCGTTTTCGCTTAAATTTCAACAAAAGGACATTTTAACAATAAATTTATTGCAAGTTCGTTTTCGCTTAAATTTTCGTTTTCGCGAGTTCGTTCTTTGGCACCATTGATTCATTTTCGTTTTCTAGGATGCAAGAGGGTT